ATCCTTTCAAGGTGCAACCAGGGCCAATTTGCAGTACAAAGAAAAATTCATTTATATATACCACCAGAAAAAATTCTGCCGTTGTATAATTATGGTTTTCAACTGCAGTTCTGACAGCTGATTTTAAAGCTTTTATTTTCTTCAGCTAGGGTCCTGAACAAACATGTAAACTTCCAGAAAACTACAAAAAATTTTAAATTATAAAAGAAACTTAAACCCTTGATTATTCTAGCTCATAAACTTGTAGAAATAATGAGTTACAATGAAACCATTGAGTGGAGAATTCAGAAATGCACATACTGTTCAAACTCCAGGCTTTACGTAACTGATCAGAAAAATCCAAATAGTCACATCTACCACAACATAATCTTTGTGCCTGTAGCTTACAACCTAGTTACCGTACAGAATATTCTTTAGCTAACTCTATTGCTTTTCAAATCCTTCAGCATACAGCACAGTACTTAGAATATCTGTTAGACAAATGAGATTTTAGAGCAAATAAAACTGCTTATGTGCAACTGTATCTTTAAGTTGCTGTCTGTTTTAAACTAACAGTTCAATACGTATAATTAAAATCACGGTTAAAAATGCTAATCTACTAACAGCTTTGATTTATCTTCTTAGCATTTACTGTAGTTTACCAGGATGGTGAGGCTGACCCAGAAACAGTAACAGTTCCAGGCAAGACAAAAATTAAAATAAAAAGCAGTTTTTTTTCTTTCTAATCATAATTTTTTTCGTCTGCTCCTAATACTCATCAGTTGTTGAGCTGTGTTCACCCGTTCAAAACCTCCTTTACTCTAAATCTCGAGTTTTTTAATGTGTAAGCTTCCAAAAACACCAGTAGCTATAAAAATTGCAACAAAACCACCAATTTTTACATTTTCAAAATCAATTCTTTCAAACACTTAACTTTTAAACTTGTTTAAGAACTGAACCTTATTTGTCAACAGCATAGCAGAATCACACACCATTTACCAAGGTTCAGTATTCATGTGTATAGACGGAATAAGATTTTCACCAGCTGTTAACATTTTCAGTACCATATTTCAAATCACCGCGTTTTTTAATATAAGACGCTTCCTTCTGATTTCTTCTAAAACTAAAAAACATTAGATAAGACTATGAAAATCCGCCACAAGCACGTTTGCAGCCGTTCCTTTTATTTTTCACCGCCTACATCTCTAGCAACGATTGTTTTAATTGTTTTATCAAACTTATGACTACAGCAGCACAGCAAACAAAGTTTTTAACACAGCATGTTTTTATTTTATTTTTTCACTTGCCTTATTTATCTTTTTATACTTTTTGACAGTGACTAACTGATTTATGTCATTTGTTGTGTTAATATAATGTCCTTTCTTAGTACGTAAGTACTTCTTTCTAGATAAATAAAAGCTTAAAGCAATAATTTTAAATTAGATAAAATCACTATTCTTACAGTTAGAAGAAACCACTGTAAGGTCACTTTAAATATAAATATAAATAAAGCAAGAAAAATAAACGAAAAAACCGGATAGTAGCTAGAAGGTAGACGTAGCCAAAATTCTTTCTTAGCAGCCTTGAAACACCCTACAGCTGAGCAAAGCCGACAGGCGAAATCAACCCAATAGTGACTACACACTGGGTTTAAAAATGTTTTTTTTCAATTTTATTCACTAAAACATATTGCAGTGCACTATTTCCTTTCACTCCATTCTTCAAGAGAATATTAATAACAATTCTTCCGCGCTATACTTCACAATTTCAATATTATTATCAATCAATATTAATTATTATTATTATTATTATTATTATTATTATTATTATCATTATTATTATTATTATTATTATTATTATTATTATTATATCAATGATATTATAATAACAGTAATACCAATAACTAATACCCTATTATTATTATTATTGTTCCTATTATTATCATTATACTGTTACCAAGTTTGTTATCATTATTATAATGGCTGTTAGTTAGTATTACTATCAGCACCATTATCATTATCACCAACTACTGTTAATACTGTTATTAAAAAGAAAATAGCAGTCACGCCAAGAAAAATCCGCCAGTCAAGATGTTTTTTGTTGTAAGTAGCTTTTAAGCAGAGAACAAACCTGGAATAAAAATGCTTACTTACCTCTACGGAAAGCCTCAAACGCCTCGTACGTGTCGTAACAGCAAAAGAATTGTTATAGCACGACCACTAGACAATCAGAAAAAATATATCAGGAAAGTCGAGCAAAACAGAAGCCATACCTACCATCCGTAAAATTCTTTCATTGACTGTATCCGAATCACGTTCCTAAAATACCAACTAATAACTAGAAATAATGGGCCGTTTCACGTCAAATCGCACACTTTTTCCCTTTCATATCTCAGATTTTCTTTATTTTTTGTTGTTAGTAGAGTCTGTCTCAGATTTTCTTTAAATTTTGCTGATTAGTAGAGTCTAAGGCGAGCATAGAGAAAGCCCGCAAAAAAAAAACCTGGAAAAGTGAATTCCCCGCCAAGTTACACACCCTCAAAGTAGCAAAATTTGCCAGGTTGCCACTTAACATGCCTCTCTTTACAGACTTGTTATTTGGCTTGTTCTGAATAAAATTAAATATTTCTTTGTTTACTAGATTTGTCATGTACGCTTTTGAATGCGTATTTATTCTTTTAATTTTTTTGAAAAACCGTATAAATACAATAAAAACAAAACTTCAAACAAACATAAAAAAAAACAAAGTTTTAAATTTAAAAAAAAAAAAA